GCCAGTTCTTGAGCCGGGCTTGTGGCTGCTGGTGGGCACAGAGACCTGCTCCGTGGGCAGTTCCTCTCCCCGCCCCAGCTGTCTGATAACCCGCTGCTCCGCACCCGAATTGACAAGAAAAATACCGAATGGACAGAGAGGTGCTGTTAACGGAGTTGCGGAGAGCCCGGAAGCTGCACACGGGTCTTGCTGTGCATCCCCGGGACATCCCAGACAACGGCTTTCGAAAGCGGTTTATGAAACCTTTTGTAAAACAGGAGGTCCTCCTTTTTCTTTTGTGGAGGTTGCTAAAAGATTCTCTTTTAAGACAGGTTAAGAAAGGTAGGTCCATGCCATGCCAGTGGAAGGTGTTCTTCAGGCAGCACAGATTTTCACTGGTGGAGACTGACTAGCCTGTGATACTTAATATTAACTCATAATGCTCAGAAAGCAAAGTCCACCAGCTGTAGAAAAGTTGATGTATTTCTTGTGCTTGGTATGAAGGCAAGCGAGAAGAGGGGCCAGGAACTGCACTTCTCTCTATCTCATGTGGTGGGCTACAAGCTCAGAGATGCTTCTTGTTTTAAATTAGTTTGACTTGGAAGCAACTAAAATTATGGGCGGAACACAGATGTACCTTTCTGCAGAGAGAAGGGAGTATACTCACATAAAAAAACCTCCAGAACAGGTGGAGGAGGTAACTGCTCTGGGGAAGCAGAGATGAGAATAGAAAGAAGAGTCTTGCTCCAACTGTCACTGAATCGACTATTTTTAACCTTGCAGATTATGCGAGTGTTGACCAGCCGTGCGTGCTCCAGCCGCAGCGCAGGAGTTTTCGTAGGGGCCTCTTGTTGCCCCCCCTGCATGAATGCTGCATGACACGAGCAGCCTTGGATGTTCCATCTCTCCTAAGACTGCAATGCCAGTAATGCTCGTTAGTGGCTGTGCTTTGCTAACCCCTGGTAGCAGCGAGTCAGTAGCTTTTAGCTGGATCAGAAACCAAGGACGCTCGAAGAACTGGAGAGGTTCTGTCCTGCGGCTCATGTCGGATGCTTGTGTGAAAGGGGATTTTATGACGTGGTTGTCTCGTTGTTCACGGAGGTGATAAATCCCCGTGAAAGGGCTCAGCGTGAAAGGGACGGTGTTTCTAGAGGCTTTTTTACTCTTACACAGGGTGAAACAAGACTCAGTTCTGTTTATGCTACACCCTCTTGGCATAGTTTGCATGGTTTTACAGACAGAACTATGCAATAAGACAGATGGTTCAATAAGACGGTGCCAGGAGAAGCTTTGCTGTTTTTCTCCTCTTCCTTTGTAATAATTTGTGGTTTTTATGCACTGCCATTGTTACGGCAGCGTTCGTCAGGTGGTGGCTGTGTGGCAAGAAGGTTTGTTACAGCTGAAGCTCTCAGCCGGTGTGTTCCCGTGGGGCTTTTAAAAGTTGTGGAGGCTGGAATTCCACTCCAGTTTTGAAGCAAAATTGCTTCCCCCATATGTATCGTAGATGAACAGACTATTTACGCAGTGCCGATTTTCTCTTTGTTCCTGGCGAGCGCTTGGTTAGAAACCGGGGTCTGCTGTGCAGGGGTAGGTAACGTCAGCACGTGGCAACAGCAGAACAGGAGAGGTCTTTTTGCTTTTCCCCACCAAATCAAGCCTGATGCAAAGCACAAACATACGCTCAGATGGAATGCAGCTTCTAGAGTAACTTTCCATTTGCTGGTTTTTACCGTCTTGGTGCATAAAGTAATTCAGTTTCTACTCAGTTCTTTGAGCAAAGGGTACATGAGAGAGGTGCAGGCTGCTCCTCTATCTCATGACGATGCCTCCCATTTCCTTGAGCCCATTTGCCACCAGTCAGGGACATACTTCGTAGAACTGCTCTCAGGTTGTATTAACCTGTAAAATTCTCCTTTGTCTACTGGAAAGGGTGTTTTTTTGTGTGTGTTTACAATAATGTAAACAAGGTCTTTGAACCCACAGAGTTAAAAAGAAAAAAAAATCCTTTTATGGGAACTCTGTAGGGTTTTTAAATCTGGAATGGCTTAAAAGAAACATCACATGTCCTTGTTTGTGCTGATGTCACATGCATTACTCCACTGCTTGTGGTATCTCCTTAGCATTGCCCTTAGGCCTCAGGGCAAAGCGCCAGCGAATATCCAGTGTTCTTGGCTCCAGCCAGCGCTTCTATTCAGGGACGCAGCAGTCAGCTGGAAAGGAAACAGCGATGAAGTAACAGAAATGGATTTTATATATTTATGTCTCAAGCTTTCCTCCTCGTTTGTGGGTGAGGGTATGGTGCAGTTTTATAGTTTGGCTGCGCTTTCGCTGGGGAGGACTTCTTCTAAAGACTCAAAAACAAGCAGTAGTTTAACAGTGTTTGTATGTCTACGTGCCTGTTACCGCATTGAGTACCTGGGGAGCTCTCCCAGCTCAGACTGGTTTTGCCAGCTTCTCCTTGGGTGTCACAGGGCTGTGCTCGGGCGCCTGACGTGTGTTTGTGCGGAGCTGTGCCAGCTGAGCTCCGACAGGAGTATCTGTGACTTCAAATCTGCTTCACTTCACACTGCTTTTGTTTCGGTCGAAGTGCACTCGGCGGTGTTTGCGTCCCAAACACAGCAGCTTTCCACCTCTTTGCCGGTTCGTGTCAGCTGAGAACATGAGAAGACGCATCAGTATTTCCCAAGGAGCCAGTTTCTTTGCTTTGCTTTTGTTTCAGGCCAGGGTGCCCAGACCCTCTGGATCCTGCTGTGGGCAGCAGGCGTCAGAGTCTGGAGTTTTCCAGCTCAGTGACAGTTGTGTTGAAAGGTTTGTTCTAGAGCAAGGACTCTAGAGATATTAAGACTTTACTCTGTGATGGACTTAAGTGCTATTCAAAAGAGGATCAAATTTTTGTTTGTGTGGCTTTGCCTTTTTTTTAAATTAAAAAATAAAATTATTCCACACACCGATGCAGAGATCTAGTAAACTGCTGCCGGCACATAAGGCAGTGAGAGCTAATTAAAGCATAAAATAGAATTGCTTGCTTGCTCTGAAAATCTGTGAAAGTTAGGGAAATGGTATTGTTGTTCCATGGAATCAAAATTAAAGTTTAGGTGACCTGGCTGGCAGAGGTCGGGAGATGAACCCAGACTGGCTGCTGGCCAGGCAAGGAAGGGGCATCCACCCAGGGCTGCAGGTTGTGGTGCTGGAAGGTAAGTCGGAGATGGGAAGGATTTTCCAGGGTGTTATCTGAACTGAAAGATTTTCACTTGGGTTGGTTTGCTTTTTTAGATCCGTTCTTACTCTAGCACAGAAAGTAGTAGTTTTGGCCGGTGGTGACTTCCTACGCACAGCGTGTTTCTCCGAGTACTCTGCACACAGAGGATTGACTCGAAGAATTAATGTTAATCTTCCTTTTCTTATTTAAATTTGTCCTATTACTTGTGCTGTGCTAAGAGAAGACATCCTTCTTCCACCTTCACAGACAGCGAAATCCTTTCTTGTGTTGTGTTTAAAGCTCAGGGCGATCTCTCAGGAATATCCAATTTTGCTGTGTCATGAAAATGCTGTTTTCATTATGGGATGTATTACTGTTTCATTTTGTGGTTTTGTTTTGCCAGCATGGGACGTTGTACAGATCTAATCATAGATGTGCTTAAACAGATGATCTCACACTCTGTAAAATATTAATGCATCCCTGGCCATAAATGAAAACAACATAATTTCATAATAGTAAGAGATTAGAGAATGTCTTTGAGATTGGCAAATGCGTTTGGGGGATTACTGTTAATTTTCGTGTAATTTTCTTCTTTCAGGGGAAAAAAGAAGTGATGCTTTGCGTGATGTGTGTTTCTTATTTTAATTTTTTCGAGGCAATATTGATAGGGTAGGGGTTGGTTGTTTGAAAAAGACACTCCCAAGAGTGTAGCTGTATGACTGAGTGAGCACAGCGCAGTTTGGAGGAAAAAAAAAAGAAAAACCAAGTCACAATAACGACAATGAAGTGCTTCTGGGTCTGGGACACCCACGAGACTGTTCTATGGGCAAGTGTGCGGAAGGGAGTGGAGGAGGTTGAGACAGGATCTATAGCAGTAAATCAGTGAGTAGAAAGAAAGTCGAAATGTGACAGGGAGATCTAGGCCTGTACAAATTCTGTCACTTCGTCTCCCATCAGAACTGAGTGATTCTCTGAAGTGCGTGGTCCCATTCAGTCACGGTTGGTCGGGCTCCAGCCGGCGCTCGTAAAACACCTCAGTTAACGGTTTTGGTGTCTTTCCTGCCCAGGTTCGAACTGATGCGCATGTGCTGGCAGTACAACCCGAAAATGAGGCCCTCCTTCCTGGAAATAATCGGTAGCATTAAAGACGAGCTGGATCCAGCGTTCAAAGAGGTCTCCTTCTTCTACAGTGAAGAGAACAAGCCTCCGGATACAGAGGAGCTCGACCTGGAGACTGAAAACATGGAGAGCATTCCCTTAGATCCCTCCTCCACCCTCCAACCCACTGACAAGCACTCAGGACACAAAGCCGAGAACGGCCCGGGCGTGGTGGTCCTTCGGGCCAGCTTCGAGGAGAGACAGCCGTACGCACACATGAACGGGGGACGCAAGAACGAGAGGGCCTTACCGTTGCCCCAGTCGTCGGCCTGCTGATCCTTAGAACCTGAATCTCACAGAAAGAAAAGGCAGTAAACAAACAAACAAACACACACGTGCATTGGGGGAAGAAAGAAAGAAAATTACAATATATTCAAAAGCCTACTGTACCTCAGTGGATCTTCAGAACTGCCATAGCTGCACTTGGGAGAACCCTTTTTTCAGTCAAAAAGTTACCGTATTTTTCTTTTTTCAATATGCAAGCAGATGTTTGTTTCAGTAAAGGACTCCATTCATGGGGCACACAGTTGGCCTTTTAAAACTCTAATGTTAACACTTAATAGCAACAGAAAACTTGAGATCTGATGTCTCTCTCTCTCCTCTCTCTTTCTCTTTCTTTCTGTCTCTCTCTTTGCTTCATAATGGGAAACATATCTGTGTGCAAGTTCAACCGTACAGCACTTTTATCAGATCAAAGATATCGCGGGCCAGGTGACTCCCTGGTACCCTTGCAAGTACCTGCCTAACACTGTTGGTCTTTATAAAAAAAAACAAAAAAACAAAACAAAAACAAACAAACAAACAAAAATACACAGACACACACACAAAAAGACTGGATTTTTAATCTTGCTCTTAATCTTTCTAGGAACGCATAAAAGAAGTAAAAAAGGGCCATCGTTCGTCCAAGGGTATTATCATTTTCAACGCTGCCAAATTTTGCCAAAAAAAAAGAAAAATGAACTCTTTGCTTTTTGTTTTGGGGGTTTTTTGTAGGCATGGAAGGAGCACAGTAATCGACTGCTCTGTTTAAAAGAGATCCTGACCAATACGTTCTATTGAATCATACACTGGTATTTAAAAAAAAATAATTTAAAAAATCAAATTGTCTAGATCTTTTTTCAAAACTGGACAAAATGTGATTTTCTTTTCTTGTGATGGAGAAGATAAAAAGGGATGGGGTAACCAAACAGCCCTCCACCCCTGTCCCCATCCCCATGAATTCTGGACAAAACTGGCAGTGGTGAGCTAAATAAACACGTGCATTTCGTACAAAAAAAGTCAACCGCACGCCAAAAATGAAATATGAGAAACATGAAAATAACCGGCAGAGATCTCCATCGTTGCAGCCTGCCTTCCTTCACAGGCTTGCAAGGAAAAAACACCTAGAAACATAAATTGGAGAAGACAAAAAAAAGCAGTAACCGGATACAAGTATATGATGCTTTGTTGACCTTTTCTCTTTATTATTAAGACTTCTCGAAGGGTCTTGCAGTTCTATGTTAGACCATGGATCATTTGCATACACATTGTCTTTTGTGTCACTTTTATAACTTTTTTACGGTTCAGATACTCATCTATATGTCTGTACAGAAAAAAGCTGCTATTTTTTTTGTTCTTTATCTTTGTGGATTTAATCTATGAAAACCTTCAGGTCTGCCCTCCTTCCCTTCCCTCCCACTTCAACAAATTTTCTTATGCTTTGTACTATAGTGTGTAACTTTTACTTCCTCCTTCCCAGTAACTGATACCTTTCGTATGATTTGCCATGAACTGTTTAATGCCTTTTTATAAATATGTTTCCTCCTTTTTTTTTTCTTTTTTTTTTCTCTCTTTTTTTTTTTTTCCATTAGTTGTTTTACAACATCTTGGCTGTGCGGGTGGCAGGGCTTTTGGAGGGGGACACGGAGAGAGAAGGGACACCCCGCACGGGAACACTCTGGCAGTGCTGTGGTGTTTTTGAACCCCGGTTTTCCTTCCTTCCCACTACCCTCTGCCCAGACAGCACGCGAGTCTCTTACAGTGCAAGGCATGATACAAACTCAGGTCAGAGAAAAGAGAAAAAAAAAAAAAGGTTAAATATTTAGTACATTCTTGTTCAGTGTTTATATTCATTGTTGTTCAAGGGTCCTACCCCTCCTCCCCTCCCCGCTTGTTTTGGTTGTGGCACACATCCACCCACCCATCCCCACACACACCCCCACACCCCTATGGTTTGGGTTATTTTATTTGTCAGGTACAACAGCAGACACCAGGCTTTTTTGAAAAAGACTCTTTTAGCCCTTCCACCCTGTGAAGGAGAGCTATACTGGTTTGAGCTGGCGAGGCCGGGTGTTCATAGGGGGAACTCCAGGCCCCAGCAAACCCCAGCTCTTCGCTTTCCTGACAAGGAAGCCCTCAGAGAGGGCGCCCGGGGGCTGCACTTCGCACCTCCCGTTAAAAATTAAAAAGACGACAAGAAAACAACAAAACCAAAACAACCCCGCCATGCCATTTCCATGGGGCCGGGGGGAAAGCGCATCGCTGGGGCCAGGGTCTGGGCTAGCGAACAGTCAGGTGTTGGCAGCTACGGAAACCCGGACAAGTACGAGCTTGTCGCTTAGAGCGGAGACCAAACCTCAGAACAAAAGAGAACGAGGGAACTTGTTTGTTCAGTTGCAGAAGCCTTGGTGAAAGGGGAAGGAGGGCACCGGCAGAAAGTCTCCAACCGAGGAGTCACACAGCAGTTGCTCATCTTACGGTAGTTACAGCGTCTCAGCCTTTGTTTAGCACTGATCCAACCAAACGATGGCAGTGAAGAGGTGGTTCTGGGATGGAAACGTTTAAATCTTTTGAGTAAGAACAAAAGAATTAAAATATACTGATTGCTAGTTTTGACTGGAGATTTTTAAAAAGTTTGTAGTGCTTTTTGCTTGTCTAGTTTAGGTCCCATTATCTTCTCTTGCCTCTGTCCCATAGTTATTTTTCCCTTTTAAAAATGAAAAAGACAAAAAAGTTAATTAAGAAGGTATTCTATGTAGGATTTTTTTATTTATTTTTGTGATATCAGTTTAAATCACTGTAGAGATGCCCCATAATAAATTTAATACTGAGATAAGGGTTTTTGAGTATGACAGGGGGACAGGTTTTGATTTTTTTTTTTTCAAACATTTATCTACCTCACTCTTATTTTTTTATATGTGTGTATATATAAAAAAATACATCTCACATTTCTCAGCAGCCAATAAATGCCGTTGATACTGGTAACCTCTCACTCCATATACCACATGCTCTCGGTTCTGGAGGGGAACAGTCGCTGCCCGTCACAAAGGGTCACTTCAGAATACTTGCCTCAATTCCAAGCAATTCCTCTAATTTTGTCGTTCAGATTTATGATTGTGACGAGAAATCCAAGAGTTGTCTGGCTTAGGGTGACCGTTCTTTAGGGAGGCACAAAGGCTTTTTAACGTGTCATGGTGGTCCTCAGGTTGGCAACAGAAAGCCGTGTGCTTAGAGGAACCGAGATGTAGCTGCTACGAGGACTTCAAATTACGAGAATTTGATGAGATCTGTTACAGAAGTTAAATGTTCACCATCTTTGACGGTCCAGGTGAACTAAAGAGAATGCTCTCTCTGTTTGTCCTGTAGAGTCGGCTAAATCATTTCTGCCAGTTTTCCCTCAGATGCCACAAGCACCAGAAAGACATTTGGCTCAGTCAGCACCTAAAAACAAATTGGCTCCTACAGCAACAGCATCGCTTTCTTGACCAAAAAAATGGCGAAAAAGCCTGCCGCAGGCTGCCTGATGCTACTGCTCCGTTCAGTTTACAGCTTTGGATCTTTGCTGCTTCTGTTTGATGAGAGCACTGATTTTTTTTGAGGGGGGGAGATTTTTTTTTTTCCTGAAAACTAACATCAATTTGATTTCTTCTAATGTGCCAGTAAAAATTCAGTTCCCTTTTTGTCCTCCGTTTATATGCTTCATAACTGTGGATTCTGATGGACCAGCCATCAAATTTTAACTGCCCTTTGACAGCGTGTAACGGGTTTACAAGCACACAGGACTAACACGAGCTTGCCATCAACTTGATGTATAATGTTTCTCTTTTTCCAGCTCTGGCAGCTGTTCGTGCAGGTGTTGGTTGTGGTATCTGAATAATGTGGTGCTTGGCTACTTGGAGTTGTACACGGCCTCTTGAGTACACAGCGCTGTGGTTATGTACCAGAGAGTTTGTTTTTGGAGGGAGTGTTTCTCTCCTAGCCCTGAGAAACCAGCAAAATTTATAAAGTTTGTACTAGGCTGTTTTGGTTTTCCACTTTTTTTATTAGGTTCCAGTGACCTTTTGGGGCAGTGGCTGTTCCCCTCTCTTGCACATATTGATTACCACAACTGGAGATCCTCAGATCTTTCAGCTGGCTAGGAGGGTTTTGTTAAAACTGTCCAAGTTACTGGGTTTTTTTAATTGTATGTAGGTGGTTTTAAAATGCATTAGGAAGAAACACTAACGACGTAGCACCCATCACGATCAACATTTCAAAAAGCACTTCGGTAGAAGACAGTCACGTGACATCACGTACACACGCGTGATGACAGTCAGCTCTCCTGGACCAAACCACCTTCATGATACCATTGCGTTCTGTGTTTGCAATTCAAGCTTAATTCCTTTTTTGTTCTGTTTGTTTCCATAGCTTATGTTGTTGTTGTGTTTTGTGTGTTTTTGAATAGCTTTATTCACATGGGTTTTTCATGCAGACTTTCCTTGGACAGTAAATCAAGTTGTTTGTGCATGTGAACAACTGAGAATTAATGTTGGCTTGATAGAGTCATAATATGGTTTGTAATGTTGTTCTTCCCTGAGACCACTGGCTTGTCTGGTATGGAAAATTTATTTAGAACTTCAGCTATGTTTGAATAAAGTTAAAGTAATCCAGTTTGTTTATAAATTAAAAATGAAAGCCCACCCAGCCCTGAGAACCAGCATTTTGACAAATGATACCAAGACGTTTTAACGCGGTAGGATAACAAATCGGTGTCCCTGCGGGGAGCAGGCTGCTTTGATTTTAATGCTCGGCCGTTCTTCTCACCCGACTCATGTTTAAACGCTGCCTGGTGGCACGGGAGGTGGCTTGTTGGCCAAGGAATGTGGCTTCTACGTAAACACAAAAGCATCAGCTCACATGATGCTAAATTAGATGCTCTTTTGGGAGAGTGGTAAACTAGACGCAGAAGCCAAGCGTGGTGGAAAGCGTTGAGGCCAGCCTGTGTGCACTGAGTCTTCCTCGGCGTGATGCCTCTGGTCTTGAAAGCTGGTTCTAAAGTGATGTATGATTCTAGGCATGTTCACACTGATGCTCCTCTCGGTCTTTAAAAACAAAGGACAAAAAAGCCCAGTTTGCCCAGGACACCTGGTCACCGGAGAGAACCTCTGTTGGGTCCTCTGGGAACTGCTCAGGGGTGTCCGGTACAATCCGAGTCGAAGTGAACAACACTCCTATTGTTGGTATAACTCCATATGTATATATCTATATATACATATATATATGCATATGTATATCTATATTATAGATATATATATTTAAACCCTTTTCATTCCATTAGTACAAGTAACCCTTGTTTTCTGTTATTCTTATTTTGTTTGTCAACCATGTATTAAATCACTGGGCTGAACAACGGTGGAGGAAGGTGCGAGGGATCCGCTCCCGACTAACCAGTGATAAAAGCCAGATATTGCAACTTAACCCACGAGTAGTTGTGCAGACAAGAATTTAAGAATGATGTGTAGAAA